CTCTCTTAATTCTCCTTTCTCTCTCCTCTGCCAGATCAACACCTGGACCCCGATTGCCAACATGCTGAGCCGCCGGAGTAGCGCAGGGGTGGCCGTCCTGGAAGGGATGCTGTACGTGGCCGGAGGGAACGATGGGACCAGCTGCCTTAACTCGGTGGAGCGCTACAATCCCAAAACCAACACGTGGGAAAGCGTGGCCCCCATGAACATCCGTAGGTAGGGAGCAACGCCCCAAAGATCGTGGCACCCCAACCGTTGGGTCCTCTCTACTTCCCACCAGATTGGGCCTTCTTTCAATGCTGAAGCCCAACCACTTTAGCGGAAGGGAGTCATGAAACAAATAGAATTGGTTGTTCCCTTCCCACCAAAATGGTCCCTATTTTTCTACTTGCATTTTTTTTACATGCTTTCAAACTGCTCGGTTGGCAGAAGCTGAGACAAGGAACGGGAGCTCACTCTGTCATGCGGCGCTAGGGATTCGAACCGCCGAACTGCCAACCTTTCTGATCAACAAGCTCAGCGTCTTAGCCGCTAAGCCCACTGCCATAGCCAGGCGTTCTCCTGCTTCCGGGAATTCTGCAGTCCCTCCTAACTCCGTTCTTTTTTCTTCTTTTTATAGAAGCACCCATGATTTGGTGGCCATGGAAGGCTGGCTCTACGCCGTGGGCGGGAACGACGGCAGCTCCAGCCTCAACTCCATCGAGAAGTACAACCCGCGGACCAACAAGTGGGTGGCAGCCTCGTGCATGTTCACCCGGCGCAGCAGCGTCGGGGTGGCTGTGCTGGAACTCCTCAACTTCCCACCCCCGTCCTCGCCCACCCTGTCGGTGTCCTCGACGAGTCTTTGACGAAGGACCCTGCCGTTCCCCGCCTCGCCTGGACTGCAGCGTCTGTCGGAGCGCGAAGCCGGCTTGGTCCGGCCCCTCCGGAAGCCGATCTCTCTGAAGGAGGGGTGCTGCACCCAGAGACTTTCCCCGGGGAGGGCCAGCCTCCAGCTCAGCTCCAAAAGGGGAGTCTCCTCGAAAAAAGACCTACTCGAGAAGAAGACGAGCGATACTCTGCGCGTCCATTGTTGATCTCATCGCAACTAGACCAATGCTGCCTGGTTTCCCGTAGGCCATACTCCACAACCTTAGAGTTCCACAATTGGACGTCGGATCGCCGGATCCATCTCATGCAAAGGACGGTGAGATTGGTTACGGGCAAAAATCAAGGTGCCACCACGAGCTCAGCCAACGACGCCAACCCCTGGAGTTCTTCACGTAGGCGGTGCGTGCCAACTTGCAGAACCTTAAGCGGTGAACATCACAATTAGCCAAAAACTTCTTACCAAAACTAACAGTATACGGTTGAAGGCGTGTGGGGCGGAAGCAGGCCTCTCACCTTGGTGTCTCGCGAAAGGATGCCTTATAACGCCAAAACAGGGCTGAGATGTTCCACAGGGCCTCTCCCATGTTCTCCACATCTCTAGGCCATCCATTCAGACATCCTCCTAGTATCTTTCCCGGCACGTGTCTGGAGCTGTCTCCACGGGGTGGCTTAGCTCTTCGTCTGAACCAGGAAGAATTTGGTCAAAGTTGTTTGGTGATTTGGGAAAAGTGGGGGGGGTCTACTGTGGACTCCGTGGAGTTGATTTTAACAGATTAATCAGAGTTGGAAGGGACCTTGTAAGTCATCTAGTCCAAACCCCCACCCAAGCAGGAGACATTGCACCATTTCTGACAGACAGATGGCGGTCCAATCTCTTCTTGAAAGCTTCCAGTGATGAAGCTCCCACCACTTCCGAAGGCAACTTCTGTTCCATGGGTTGATTGTTCTCACTGTCAGAAAGTGTCTCCTTATTTCCAGGTTGAAACTCTCCTTGGTCAGTTTCCATCCATTGTTCCTTGTCTGGCCTACAGATTTTATAGTTCACGGTGCGCCAGTAGCATTTCCTTCACTGCTTTCCCCTGTTCGAGTTGTTAAAGAGTTCTGATGAGGGGTGGGTAGGGGCTTTAATAATTTATTTTGCCAGCCAATCTGCTCCCTTCCAGCCTGCCTTCTCCCTATTTATTTCCTTTATTTATTATTATTTAAATCGGAGGGTTTTCAGGACAGAAAACGGCAGGGCGGAGCTTTGTTTAATCTACGGTGAGCCCAAACCGTGGCTGCAATCTACGGAAGGAAAACTTTTGTGGGGGAAAAAAAACTATCCTGGTGGATTAACCAAGAGTGGCCTAACCACAGCCTTCCTTTTGAATGGACCAACTTGGCATCTTGTCTTTTTGGCATCGCTACGGGCCAGACTTTTGTTCCAGAGCCTTGTCCCAACAATTCCTGTCTAAAAAAAAAAATAATAATTCAGAGTATTGTCTGATTTCAGAGTATTATCCTGCCAAGCCCGTTCCTCGGAAGGGAGTGTGAAACTTACATAATATTAACTGCATTATGTTGGATTTTGTTCTCAAAGCGCTAAGAAGGCGGTCGAAAAGAAATAATTCTCGTGGAGGATAACACGGCGGCACTTCAACGGGGAAGGATTATTTTGAAAGCAAGAAAATGCACTACGTTCGAGGACTTGCCTTGAAAAGCTTCTAGCTGTTGTACTCTTCTCTCCCTTTGGATGGGGTTTGGACTACAAAGCCCAGCTTGGATGCCAGCTACTCTGCAGCAAAAAATATTGGTTGTGGGGGAGAGAGAGAGAGGAGAAAGGAAGTATGGCTGATCTCTTTGTCTTTGCCATTTTGGGTGCAAAAAAAAAAGAGAATTCTGTAGGAGAGGCTACGACGTGAAGGCTCTTGTAAGTCAGCCAATGCTTCTTGTTGGTTTTATTCTACCAGTTACCACTTTGCTGCTTCTGTTTTCTGATTTATTTTGTTGGTTTGTGTGTTGGTTTATTTATTTTGTCACTGTGACGCTCACTGGCCAGTTTGCAACAATGCTGGATGAGGTTGGAGCAGGTTGAATTGATCGTCCCGACTCGCAAGCTTCGGAGAGTCCTCATATGAATCTGCTTCAAATTGGCCCCAGGTTTGAGGGGGTCAGAAGTGGGGTTTATGTATCAAGCCACGATTAAAACATGGCCTTCTATGGATCTGCTTTACAAACTGCAATCGGTGAACTAACTTCCCTAGCCGGATAAGCCACAATCAAACAGACTCTCCAATGCTTGGTGCCACATTTTGTGCAGCAAACCACAGTTATGGGTCCACTTCTTCGATACTCCAGCCCGTATGTCCGCGGCTGGGAATTCTGGGCGTTGAAGTCCCAATTCCCTCCTACCGTTCGTAAGCCATGATTTGAAAAAAATAAAACGAAAAATAAAAACAAACCGTGGCCTGCTTGCTACCAAGGATGAATCCAAAAGGCAGCTTTGCTGGGCTCCTCTGTATCCATGATTTAGATTTATATAGGCATCGTGGCTTCGCTTCGAAGGCGTTTTTGCAAAAAAAAAAGGACGTTTCCAACAGACGTTTTCTGTAAATCTGTATTTCTTCGCTCATCTGGCATTGTGCTCAGCCTTCCTAGCCAGAAACATCGTTTTGCAAATCCTGTGTGCTGTAACGGGGTGGGACTGAGAACCATGTATCAGGGTTCAACCCGCTGCATTCATTTTGGGAAATTTGTTTTCATAGTGTTTGTTTTGTTTTGTTTTGTTTTATAAGTGCCTTCACTTTGCTTTTTGGGGTCCTTCAGTGGGGCAGGTTCTCCACGGGGGCCTTCTCATCCGTTTGTGCCGGAGTGGGGTAGAAAACGTTTGCATCGGAAGATGTCGATAAAATTCCTTTTCATGCTGTTACAGCGGTGTTTGGTTGCTTTAAGACGCGTGGACTTCAACTCCCAGAATTCATAGCTGGCTGGAGAATTCTGGGAGTTGAAGTCCACGCGTCTCAAAGTGGCTAAGCCTTAGATATACTCAGCTAGGACTTTCTCCAAGCAATATTCATTTTAAAAATCTTTCTGGTCCACGGATCAGATATTCCCAATTTATCCTAATTAACAAGGGATTTTTGCCCTTCTGTAATTTATCCTTAAATACCTGCTTTTTCCCCAAGCAGCTTCTGAATTCCGGGAGTTGAAGTCCACAAGTCTTAAAGGCGCCATCCTTTTTGCTACACAGTTTCGGCGGCGTCTTTGGAAGAGAGACACTACAACTCTCAATGTGAGATTGGAAAGCAAGCGAAGATGCTGGGTTTTGCAATGATGGAGGATAAGGTAGCCTTAACCACGAAGGAATTGGCAGTGGTTATCCTTTCTCTCACTTCCTTGTTCCCCCCCCCCCCAGTTTAATTCAAAACTAGCTTTCAACTTCCCATCTGAATTACATTACAGGTAGTCCTTCATTTAATGACCACAATTGAGCCCCGAATTACAGTCGTAAAACAGGTCGCTGTTTTTTTGGCAGCTGTGGGTGTTTTGGGGTTTTTGGGGGGGCTGGAAGTCAAAAGGAAAGATTGGAAACTGAAAATGATGGGTCATTTTGTGACGGTGGGATGCTGCAAACGGCCATAAATGTGAACCAGTTGTCAAGCGGGATGGATGGATGGATAGGGAAGAAAAGGGAAGGAAGGAATCCCATCGTCCTTGTCTCCGTTGAAATACAAACTCTTATCCATGGTGCAAATCCTCAGCTTATTCACCCTGGATTGGAGATGCCTTGAGGAGGGGTTTATGTGTTAATTTATCTGTATATGTGTGTCAGATTTATTTATGTGCCATTAAAAAGTCCACTTTATTTTGTGTTTCTCAATTTTTGCACTATAACAAAGATGGGAGGGGAATAGGAGCAATAGAAGCCAGTGTATAAAATAAAAAAATAAAAAAAAATAGATTTTTCTTGACTCTCTGACTCATTCTCCGTTTTATTTTTATTTAATTTTTTTTAAAACCTGCCCTAAGTTTGACCCTAGAGGTTTGCTATAAAGGTAACAGCTTCCAGCCAAGGGGACTCGGTCCAAAACAGGATTAGAGGCACGGATGACTTTCCAAACATGTATGCCAGGTATGTCTGTCTGTCTGTTCGGAATGGTAAGCATGGATTGGTGACCCTGGCTGGTTGCGTGTCAAAATGCCTTGCAGGCAGAAGGTTTTGGAGGTCAGGCAAGAATTTTAGTCCTTCTAAGAGGGCTAATTTTATACAGGTAATCCTCAAGGTACAACCACGATCGAGCCCAACATTTATCTCGTGAAGTGAGAGATTTTGCAAAGTGAATTTTGCTCCGTTTTACGATCTACCTTGCTTCAGATGGCCCATCGCGGGTTTTAAACAGACTCACCTGTCTGCAACATTTGTGTGTCTTTAGATGTCTCCAAACTCGGCCACTTTAAAGCTTGTGGACTTCAACTCCCAGAATTCTCCAGCCATTTGGCTGGAAAATTCTGGGAGTTGAAGTCAGTGGTGGGATTCAAAAAATTTTTACTACCGGTTCTGTGGGCCAGAGGTGGTATTCAGCCAGTTCTGATCAGTTCTGGAGAACCGGTAGTGGAAATTTTGAGTCGTTTGGAGAACCGGCGAATACCGCCTCTGGCTGGCCCCGCCCCATCTATTCTCCACCTCCCAAGTCCCAGGTGATTGGCTGACTCTTCTTTGGTTGCCCTGCACAGGAGAACAGAGCTGGAAAGCAGGTTAGTGGGGTGGGAAGGGAATAGAGATTTTGCAGTATCCTTCCCCTGCCACGCCCACCATGCCACGCCCACAGAACTGGTAGTAAAAAAAAACTGAATCCCACCACTGCTGTGGGTGTGGCTTGGTGGGCGTTGCATGGCTTGGTGGGTGTGGCAGGGGACGGATAGTGCAAAATCCCCCTTCCCTCCCCACCTCCCTAACCTGCTTTCCAGCTCCGTTCTCCTGTGCAGGGCAACCCAAGGAGACCCAGCCGATCAGCTGGGACTCAATGGGAGGCGGAGAAGAGATGGGGTTGGCGGGGCCCAGTCAGAGGCGGGATTGGCCGGTTCTCCAAACTACTCAAAATTTCCGCTACCGGTTCTCCAAAACTGGTCAGAATTGGCTGAATTACCACCTCCGGTCGAAGTCCACAAGATGCCAAGTTTGGGGACCCCTGCACTAAGGCCAATCATTTTTGTTAATTTGGGGTGTTGTTGTTTTTTTTCAAAGCAAGATGAGGAAGAGCTCTGTGTGACTCAGACACTTTGCATTCCCGTTTCTGCTGGAAGATTCGCATGCGGAGGGGAAAATGTCGATGCAAATCACGCTGGAAAATCTTTTGGGGATCGGTTAACAGAATTCTTTCTCCACCTGCTCTGCATCGCTCCAGACTCAAAAAAACGGCTATAAATAATCACCCGTTGCATAAAGGGTGCGCAGAGAGAAGCTGTCTGGCCAACGGAGCCCTCTTTAAACAGACCCAGGAAACAGAAAGTGGGTTGCAGAAGACGGCCAGGGGTAACTTTCTCGTAGACTCTGCAGTTTCCACCGTGGGAAAATGCAGGAAACAGGTAGCACGATTTACCCCCCTTCTCCCCCCCCCACCCGAAGGAATCCAGAACATTCCGGTTTCAAAGCCAGAGCTCTGGCACGCATTTTGATGCCGTTTGCAAAAAAAAGTTCAAAGCAAACCATGAAACGGTGTGAGAAAGTGTCGTAATGACTTTGGCATCCTTCCTGCCCTTCACTTAAAAATCATGTTTGCTGGGTGGAGGACGATAGATGGATGGATGGATGGATGGATTAGATAGGTAGGTAGGTAAGTAAGTAGATAAATAGATAGGCAGCCAATAAATTTAATCTAGATTAGATAGATACACAACTGATAAATTTGATAGGTAGATTAGATAGATAAATTGATATTCTGGGAGTTGAAGTCCACAAGTCTTAAAGTTGTTGAGTTTGGAGACCTCTGGTTTAGTACATTATAACAGTGTTAGCGGTGAATTCATATAAATAGATATAGTGTCTTCCTTAACATTTGTGGGTCAGTCAAACACACTTTGTTGGTTCCTTCTCTTAAAACCCTTTGGAAGCACATTCTTCCCAATGCAAAGGAAAGGAAATTCAGGTGGGCAAGGCCCATGTTGGCACTAATTTTAGGAAGAGAGAGAGAGAGACGAACCTGAAATTTGGAATGCAGCCTGAGAGTGATGGTCATGAGCTCGTTTTCCTGCCCCCTCCCAGGCAGTATAAATACCATCTTGGATTTGGAAAAGAGAGGGAAGAGAAACTTTCATGGTTTTTAAAATTAAAAAGGCTTCTTACCGTAAAATGGTTGGAAGCAGAGCCGTGTTCCTCAACTTCGGTGATTTTAAGACAGGTGGCCATAAACTCCCAGAATCCCCCAACAAAGCGTGATTGGGATCAATGTAGTCTGAGAGGAAGCATCTGTTGGGAGAAAGGATGAAGTTTTCATTGATCTGCAGGTTATTCGATCAAGGAAGGAATGGATTTATTCTCTGGGACTGGATTTTTTAATTCCAGAAGGATTATCATCATTATTCTGTATTTTCCTTTCCCTTTATTATCAATTTCCCTTCCTTCTCACTGTTTCCTCCCTCTTCCTTTCTTCCTTTCCTTCCCTTCCCCCTTTCCTTTCCTTCTCTTCTCTTCCCTTCCTCATTCCTTTCCTTCCCTTCCCTCTTCCTCCTTTCCTTTCCCTTCCTTTCCCTTCCTTCCCTTTCCCTTCCTTCCCTTTCCCTTCCTTTCCCTCTTCCTCCTTTCCTTTCCTTTCCTTCTCTTTGCTTTCCCTTTCCTTTCCTTTCCTTTCCTCTCTCTTCCCTTCCCTTTCCAATGGGCTTCTTCCTGTCCTTAAAGAAGTATTCTGAAAAGCAGGGTGTTGCACGTGCAAAAGACACCACCAGCAGACTCCACCACCCCATCCGTGTTGTTTTTCTTGGCGTAAAAGGGGGTTCTGAAATTCCCTTCTGCTGGTGCTATTTTTTCCAGCTTTGTGGCTAGGATCTCCTGATGGTCCCCTTTTGAAAGGCGACACAGGCCCAACCTTGCCTGTCAAGGAGCAGAGCCCATTTATTGATTTACTTATATATTGGTAAAATGGATGAGTTGCCCATCTCGCAGCCCAATAACTCAATCCGTTGCCTGCAACCACTGGAAGGTCTTTTCAATGCTCTCGGGATAAAAAGGTTGTAATTCAGCCGATTCTGAGTGGTTCTGAAGAACCGGTAGCGGAAATTTTAAGTTTGGAGAACCAGCCAATACCGCCTCTGACTGGCCCTGCCAACCCCATCTCTTCTCTGCCTCCCACTGAGTCCCAGCTGATCGGCTGGGTCTCCTTGGGTTGCCCTGCCCAGGAGAACGGAGCTGGAAAGCAGGTTAGTGGGGTGGAGACTGGGGAGGGAAGGGGGATTTTGCAGTATCCTTCCCCTGCCAGGCCCACCAAGCCACACCCACCAAGCCATGCCACGCCCGCCAAATCACGCCCACAGAACCAGAAGTAAACAAAATGTTGAATTCCACCACCGCCCTAAGTGGGATTCATTAAAAAAAAAAAAATTAGGCACGATGATGGACACAACTTAACGTTGGCTCTGCATAGATGCCAAACCTAAGGCCACCCTTGGAGTATTGCATCCAGTTTTGATTGCCATGATATAAAAAAGAGGTTGAGACTCTGGGAAGAGTGCAGAGAAGAGCCCCAAAGAGGATGAAGCGACCAGAGGCTAAAACATACGAAGAAGAACGTTTGCAGGAACTGGGTACGTTTAATTTAACTGAAAGAAGAACCAGGGGAGACATGTTAGCAGTGTTCCGATATCTGAGGGGCTGCCCCAAAGAAGAGGGAGTCAAGCTATTCTCCAAAGCACCTGAGAAGGCAGGACAGGAAGCAATAAATGGATGGAAACTAATCAAGGAGAGGAGCAACTTAGAACTAAGGAGGAATTTCCTGACAGGGAGAACAATGGACCAGTGGAACAACTTGCCACCAGAAGTTGTGGGTCCTCCAACACTGGAGGTTTCTAAGAAGAGACCGGACAGCCATTTGTCTGAAATGGTACTATAGGGCTTCCTGCCTGGGCAGGGGGTTGGACTAGAAGACCTCCAAGTCCCTTCCAACTCTGCTAATGTGTTCAACCAGCCTCAGAGAAAACAAGAAATGTGGTCTTCCCTCAGGTTTCAATTTGTCTCTCTTGCAAGCAAAAAATTGGGGGCCTGGAGAGAGAATCCCCTCTAGTTCCCTGGCCACAAACAGCAAACCTGCTCAAGTGTGTGTGTGTGTGTGTGTGTGTGTGTGTGTGTGTTGGCACGCTCATTTGTGCTCCTGTGTGCGCCTGTTATCAGTTCTCAGGAAGCCAGCGCCCGAAAGGATCCCTCGGCCAAAAAACGGCTGAAGTTTTCTTCACCAAGCACACACGCCCCAGAGGATCATTCTCTCGGAGACGGAAGTGAGGAAGCCTCGCATGACACACGCACACCAACAAAGCACACACCTTCTCGGTTTTGCACACGGGAGCCCGGGGGCTCCCACACGGTCCGCCTGCCTCTCTCGCTGCTTCTTCCTGCGCCCTGAGACTCTTCGCCCCGACTTGGAGATGGGGAACATGGCTTGCGTTCCCCAAGCGCCCGGCCGATTCCGGTATTCCTTCTCTAGGAAGCCCTCCTTCAAGAAAGAGTGAGTCCCCCATTCAAACTCTTTCTTTCCGTCTTTCTCTCAGACAGTTTTTCTTCTCTCTCTCTCTCTCTTTCTCACCCCTTTCTGTCTCTTTCTCTCTCCCCCTTTCTCTGTCTCTCCCTCCTTCTCTCTTTCCCTTTCTTTCTCTTTCTCTCTCTCCCTTTCTGTCTCTTTCTCTCTCTCTCTCTCTCTCTCTCCCCCTTTCTCTGCTTCTCTTTCTCTCCCCCCCTTTCTCTCTTTCTCTCCCTTTCTGTCTCTTTCTCTCTCCCCCTTTCTCTGTCTCTTTCTCTCTTTCTCTCTCCCCACTTCTCTCTCTCTCTCTCTCCCCTTCTCTCTCTTTCTCTCTCTCTCTCCCTTTCTGTCTCTTTCTCTCTCTCTCCCTTTCTGTCTCTTTCTCTCTCTCTCCCTTTCTCTCTCTCTCTCTCTCCCCCTTTCTCTGCTTCTTTCTCTCTTTCTCCCTTTCTCTCTCTTTCTCTCTCTCCTCCTTTCTCTCTTTCTCTCTCCCCCTTTCTCTCTTTCTCTCTCTCTTTTTCCCTTTCTCTCCCCCTTTCTCCCTCTCTCCCCCTCTCTCTTTCTCTCTCTCCCCCTCTCTCTTTCTCTCTCTCCCCCTTTCTCCCTCTCTCCCCCTCTCTCTTTCTCTTTCTCTCCCTCCTCCCTCCCTCAAAGGGTTTCGGCTGCCCGTGTCATTTCCTCCCAAATGAGTTATATCTCCCAAATGTTCGCTGAATACGACCCCATCGGATCGGGAGGAACGTCGTTTGACTGCAAATTCTTTACTTTGGAAAAAAAAAAAAAGTTTTCTTCTGCAGAGAGAAGAAGGCGTGCAGGGTGGTGGTGAGGGGGGGGGGAGTTTTATTTTAAGTTGTCTTTTCGTTTCTGTCGCTTCTGTGGGCATTGCCCCTTTTAGACTACGACCCTTTTAGTCGTTTCCAAAGGCTGCCCCACTGGGAAATCGGAGCCCCAACTCATTCAAAATGGACCATACCGATCTGTGGGGCTTTATGATCCCTTGTGTTCAGTGGAGGTTTATTCCTTCTTCGGGGCTTTAACTGTTGCCTAGGATGTTCGGTTCTGTTGTAACCGTGTTTTTTTCCTTAGGGGGAAAAAACCCAACAAGGTTCAAGTGAACCTAGAATGCAAAGTTTTGTGGTCCAAGCGCTTCTCTTGGCTTATAGAGACTGGCTAAAAATATACCGCTTTCTTCCCCAGATCCTTCTAAGTTATTTATAATCCCAAATATTTCCTGCAATTGCGAGAAGATTCAGAATTGCCTTAGCGGAGGGGAGGGAGGCTTACAAAAAGAAAATTTGTAGAAGAAAAGGCTTTCCAGAAATCTTGAAAAGTGTTTGGCTTTTCTCTTCCCTTTTAAACAGACTTGGGTTTTTTTTTTTCCTGTGTGTGTGTGTGTGTGTGCGTGCGTGCATACGCGCATAGCTACAAAGTTATGCTCACCGCCCAAAGTTGGGTGGCTTGTAAATGTAATACCTAATTATTATTTCAGAGCGTGTGTTTTTTGTATTTGCCTGCTTTTGCACAGCGTGGGAAAACACACACCTCGACCTGCATATTCCTTGCCATACCTGACTAATTTAATTGCACAGGGGACTGAGTGAAACGGGGAAGCCCCTTGCAATTCTGAAGCTGGTCCATTTCCACTGGAGGACCCTGTTCTGTTTTAGCAAACAGCAGGGCAGTGTTAAAAAGAGCAATATTGTCCGTTTTCTTATTTTCCTTTTACAAAAGTCCACTCGCTCCGCTAAAACCCCACAAAAACCTGCCAGTTGTCGTTGGGCCTTCTTGTTATTTCGTTCCACCACCCCAGAGGCCAGACTACAAATTTCATCATTCCCAGCTAGCACAACTCATGGCATGGCTAGTCATATAAAAATAGGATGGTTTTTTTTTTTTCCCCTCACCCGGTTTGAAAATTATGGGTGGCCGAATCCCTCTCAGCTTGCGTGAAGGGAACCGAGTGTCAGCTTCAAATTGTTAGACGCCTAAGTAACCAGACACTTGGGCTCTCTATCACTCTGGTGTGTGTGTGTGTGTGTGTGTGTGTGTGTGTGTGTGTGTGTGTGTGTAGGCATGCAACTGCTTTTAAAGGACAACATGAATTAGAATAGGCTGTGGGCACTGGAAAATATTTCACCATTTCTATGGAAAGTCCAGTTTCCCACATGTTCCTGATTGCAAAAAAATTGTGCACTCCGCGGGCCATGTGGATGTGCTTTTAAAAACACAGGTCAAATAGAAGACCCGGTTTAAATTGTACCCTGCTCAGCTGCAAGGCATGGGGACCGTGTGCTTATTTTATGTGACAGGGCTGCAAGGAATTGTGCAACTGTGTTTGAAGGAAAGCGGCAGGCTTTCAATTCCCTCTTTGCAAAACGGGATTAAAATAAGGATAGCTGTCTTGCAAACTTGGGGTGGGACTTGCTCCCCAAAACCATCTCAGAAAAGAATTGCTAAAATTGCAGGCGCAGGGAACGTGGAAAATTTTGTGTGTGTGTGTGTTTCAGTCTTCCTTTCTCAATCCATGGGTCCCTTTTCCAATTAGATGGTTGCATTTATCTTAGTTTCGTTTGTCAATATTATCTATCGCTCCCCGTGTTCTCTGGTGAACTGGATAGGGAAATGAGATGATGTCATACCGAAAGTTGGCTCATTTTGCTTGCTTTGTTAATGTTTTTGGTTGTGTAGTTTGAGTTCTTATTCTTTCTGATGGGCTAGGAAAGATTGACACAGACTGATAGGAATCAATCAGAAGCCTGATGGCTTTTAGGTGTGGTTCAGTTTCTCGAATTTCAAGGTTTAAAATCTTCCCCTGATCTCAAAGGAGTGGGAGATAATGCTCTTTTAATCCTGCCACGATCACCTAAAATTGACTCCTCCTAAGAACAAAGAGGGATGTTTAATAATTATTCGTAATATCAAGAGAAAGCCCATTGCCCTATATCATTTTTGATAGTTGTGATTTATTAAGATTCTCAGATCTGGGTTGCCAAAATCTCAATGGCCACTTGGGGGCAACTTAGAGAGGGGGAAAAAAAAACCCTGCCCCCTAGTGGTCAATAGGATTTAGGCAACCTGGATCTGATCACTCTCAATTTATGACATGTGGTGTTGTGTTCTTTGCTTTTCCCATGCTGTCACATTTTTAAAAATTGCATTTTACCACATGAAGTCTGCTAT